GAGTTTGTAGTTGCTGGGGACGAGCCACAGCACCTTGAGATACGGATAGCTGTGAGGCACTCTGAGGTACTCCACTTTGTGTACTAGCTTGTGAACTGGTTTTAATGCCTGTAGAACTTTTTTGGGAGAATTGACTCGAAGTACAAGTGGCCTTGCACTGTGGGCACGATTTGTTTTANACCCTGTTTTCGAGCTCCTCAAAAGCTACAGCTTGCCTTGCTGATACAACTGCGGTCACAATATTTCGAATTCTACTTTCGTTGAGCTCATTTTCAGCTGTGTTTCCGCTTGCCGAAGTTATTGGGGGACTACCTGCACCTGGTTGAATATCTGAGCTATCTGTCGGCGTTCGAAGTTGCGGTGGTTGTGTTTGAGTTTGTAGTTGCTGGGGACGAGCCACAGCACCTTGAGATACGGATAGTTGTGAGGCACTCTGAGGTACTCCACTTTGTGTACTAGCTTGTGATCTGGTTTTAATGCCTGTAGAACTTTTATCGGAGAATTGACTCGAAGTACAAGTGGCCTTGCACTGTGGGCACGATTTGTTTTGTTTCAGCCAGGATAATAGGCAAGAACGGTGAAAGGAATGATTGCAGGCGGTACGTAATAAATCTTGACCATGCGAAAAATATTCACGGCAAACAACGCACGGCCTCGATAAATTCTCAGTGCTATGTCTAAGGGGCATACTTCTTTTTTGTTTATTCATAAAAAAAACGTTGTAAAAATAAACGTCTTCAGCGATTCAAAAAAAAAGTTAGTACAAAAATCTAGGTATAAACGGTATACGAAATATGTATGTATGCATATATACATACATATGTATCAAAAATTTAAGTTTCTTTTTATTTATATATTTATTACTTTGTTTTGATTTGGCCTACTCCCAAAAAGGTTCGTTTGTTGCAAGATAAAAAGATAGAAACGCAGGATGACACTGAAATCATAATATGTGTTATCACTTTGAATATTTAAATGTGGTTTTGCTCCGTGTCTACACGTCAGAGAAAAGTCCAACAAAATAAATATTCTAAGTTTTCCCTTAAAGTGCATTTAATTAAGATTCATCAGATCAAAATCATCAGACTGGTCAGTAAAGTCAGCATTCAGCAGAGCTTTCAACTGCACTCCAGCTTGACAAGGAAATGATCTAAATAAATACAGAAGAGGATCAAGCAGAAACGAAGTATGCATTTACTGGGCGACTGTATCAGCATAAAGCGAACACAAGGCATTCCAAGCAAATATTTATCTAAAAAAAACAACTTTACAAAAAAAAACAAGGTTTCTATTGAAACACTAGGAGCTCTCACGTTTAGTGGGCCCCACGTTGGGCGCCATTTTCTTATGGTCACCTGCTGTGTAGTGCGAAAATTTAAAAGCTCCTCCAAGACTCTTCTTACGTTACCCCCGTGTGCACCTTGCTTTGTGTCCAGCCCGGAGATTCAGCCAATGGAGTGGGTTACGAAATAAGGGCAACACAAAGAATATCCTACACCAGCAAGCCATAAAAAAAATTCTGTGCACACTAACGGACCGACAACAATAAATTATTCAAACAGACCAATCAAAAATTATCTACAACAAAAACTAAGTCACGTTAAGTAACAGACAAATGCCTTCTCTGCAGTTATTGCCACCTTTCCAATTGGCTCCCATTAGTGTTTGCTATAATTAGTAGGGAGCTCCCATTTTTCCAACAACAAACTTACTTTTGGTTTCGGCCATAGTTAAACAAAAAACTTAGAACTTCATTTTTAATTCTAATACAAATTTATTGACAAGATAAAAAAAATTCTTATAGTAGTGCTTACAAAGGTTAATATTCTTTTCCTTATTTCTAAATTCACAAAAAGGTAAACTTACGAATAAGTGGAAAGTTTGAAGCAAGTGAAAGAAGAGAAAAAAATATATGTACGTATAATATGTACTTAGCAAAAATCACAAAGAAGGGAATTTGAATAACCCTCTAATTAAGAGCGCAAGAGATAATGCAACAGCGTTATTCTCTCTTTCCTTCTTATTCGCTCTATACGCCAATGCCTTTTAATCCAGACTTCACTTGAAAGAGGCTATCGAAGAGTGGTTTATATCTATGTACATACACCGAGTAGAGAAAAACTCGAATTAAGCGGCAAATGCAAGAAGAGCTTATGGCGCCAAAAAAAGTAAATATGTACATAATTATATACTTATAGTCGCGTAGATCTAGAGAAAAACAAATATACGTATGTGCACATGTTTATATGCTCATATGCATATCTAAGCAACTATATTGTATATAAGTGAAGAACATATTTTGTATAGAAATTTGTTTTTATAAAATTTGAAAGGAAACTAATAATTCGTACTCACTTTTAAAACCGGCTGAGTGAAGCGCTTCCCTCGATGCGGTGAAACTCCATATCTTGTGTAATTTTATGCAACGATTTATGGGTATTTACATATATGCATATGTATATAAACCTATATGTATATACAGATATATATATGTAATTTTATTCCTCTTTTTTTTTTGAAATTCGAACCACTATTCCTTATATAATTTTCTTCAGCACTACTAATTCTCTATAGGCACTTTTTTTTTCTCCTTCCACTTTACCACCTCTATCTACGAATTATTTCATTATTTCAATAAAAAAATAGATTTAAACATACATGTCTTTTTTCACCTTTAGACTTTGCGTAAACTCTTTTATCAGCGTTTTTTTTTTTTTTTTTTTTATATATAATCTAACGTTAACTCAATTATTATTAAATTTTTCTTCCTTTTTTTCTTACGCGGAAACCAGTTGTTTCTCTAACATCTTCGACATTTAAACTAAAATGGGGATAAATATAAAAGTTTGAGATCACCTAAGCTGTAAGCAGCGTGGCTGTACCTAAGTCTTTATGTACATAATTTTGTAGGTATGTTAAACTTGCCGCTTGAGAACAAGTGCTATATATATACATAATATATATATATATATTTCTTTTGCATGGCAACTANTTGCTTCTATTTTTTTCCATCACGAAGACTAGCTTCAATTCTCCCTCTATTTTTCTTCTCCTTTCTATTTTCCTGTTCATACGCAATAAAAGTAATAGATTGATGCGGAACTGCAGTAACTTCACAGGGTTTTTCGAATTGTAGAAATATTCATAAACAAAATTTTTGAAAGAAAAGTATACATAGAAAACAAAAAAAGATCTTAAGTACCAATGTGTGCATACCGTATACAACCCAGTACAAATTGCACTACGCATAAACGTAATAATTGTGCGTATAATTTATAAGGATTTGTTATGTTTTTATACTCTTGCTACCACATTAATATATGAATTCTTCATAAGAATATATGAATTCGTCTTGGAAGATAGAAAGCGAGTAAGAAGAAATGCCGAACAAAGCAATTTGTCTTCTTTAAACTTAAGTAAATGCATTTTGCAAACAAAAGTGCGTACGTTACTTAGTGCCTTGGGTATATTGAACGGAGAGAATCGTAACAAATCGCGGCGAATTCATAAGGATCTATTAATTGCGACAATTCACACCGGTCAATTACTTCCATTACAATCCGGTCCTAAGACTTCATATAAGGTGGTGGTCAGAAAAGTAATAAAATGAAATTAAATTATTGTTTAATTTCTAACCAAACTTATGTTTGTAACTCAATCGCCTAATGGTTTGCCGAGGCGTAAGGATATGTTTACAAACCAAATTTAGTGAGTACCTGGTACCCACACCTTTTTTAAGAAGTTTCACTTCTATCATGTGTACGGTGCTACACACGCCTTTTTCCCCATTAGATGTAACATTTATTGAGAAGTGTATATGAATATATCGTAAAAATAAAAGAATGTATTTTTTTGCATGAAGTGGAAATCATATGTTGATTGGAGTTAAAAGAACTTGTAATGAGTAGCTAAGTTGAATTCGTTGGTGTGAAGCGTTTTACTGGTGCAACTGAGGGGACATGGGTATGGTGAACAAATGACCGAAATTGAACTGAACAGACGTTAAACAGACGAACGGACAAGGGTCAGGTATAAGGGACGCTGTAAGAATGAGAGGGGTCAACACAGCGGTCATGGCATCGCGTGCCGCGTACGTTGAAGAGGGTGGGTAGACTCCGCCTGACTGGGCTGCCTTCCTTCATTTCATTATTTTCTGTTCTTTGTCTTCTATCCTTCTCGCCAAGACATGAATAAATTTTGCGTATGTGGTTGTAGGCAAGGTAGGTGGAAGCGACCCTTCCGACGACGAGCTATTATGGACTCGCTAGCATGCCTTAACACCGCTGCGCCTTGTCCTAAAAGCCAGCCACATATCAAGTAACTCAAACGATGTCGCATTGAACATTGCCAAGGCACATTGCTTCGAATGATTCCCCATCACACTTTTCCGTTCACGTTTTGATAAAAAATCGTAAGCCATATTACAGCATTATTTAAAGCTTACGACTGCAGCGATGAGTTGCAGGAAAAGCTCGTTTGTTGGGCAGGAAACAGCACTCAGAATAGAACTCTACAACAGCTTTTTAGCGACAGGGGATTTCGAGGAGGTCTGCTGTTTCATCTTCTTCAAGATTGTTTGGCGAATACTGCGGCAACGCGAAGCGAACAACGAGAAAATGGCAGAACGTTCGAGGAATGACGAATAATATTCGACAGGGAGAAACGTCAAGTGGATGAATACTGCGAACAGCGAGGGAATGGGCGATAGACGGCAGTATGTTCTAGAGTTGCCACGAGTGCAAGCGCAGGTATATAAGGCCGCTACCACAGGACAAGTCAAGTTAGTTGCAACTTAGCAAGCTATAAGTTCAGTTGTGTTAGCAAGTTTTGTAAAGTGTTTTAATTTAAGTATTGTTATTAGTTTTTATTGCATAAACACGTATTGTAAAGTGTTGCCATGAGTGCAAGCACAGGTATATAAGGCCGCTACCACAGCACAAGTCAAGTTAGTTACAAGTTAGCAAGCTACCAGACAAGTCAGTTGCGAATCAGCAAGCTATAGGTTCAGCTGTGTTAGCAAGTTATGTAAAGTGTTTTAATTGCCTTAACAAGAATTGTTATTAGTCGTTATTACATAAACAAGTATTGTAAAGTGTTTTTTGTGCAATAAAGTTAATTCTACTGTAATTTGGTCATCGTGAGCGTTTATTTAACAATCCAGCGATACGAACCGAAAGATTTTGGTAAATCCGTCAACCAAACAAGGATAATTGTAACACTTGGTGTCAGAAGTGGGATTGTTAAATAAATCCCGACGGATACACTTTTGAAAATGTCAAAAATTCAAGAGCTAAAGATCGAGGAACTCAAACAGGAGTTGGAAAAACGAAATCTCGCAACCTCCGGAAGAAAAGTGGAGTTGCTATCACGGCTGCGAGAGGCTATGGACAAAGAAGGCATCGACGTTGATAAATACGACCTCCATCGAGAGGACGAGGACGCATCCATGAAAAGCGAAGACATGGAAAATGCTGCTGGTTCAGCGAAAGATGTAGAGCAGATATGTAAGAAGATTGAAGAACAACAAAAGGCTCCTAGTTCATCGACATCTATGGACATGAGCACGTTATTGGCTGCCATATCACAGATGATACAGGCACAGAGGTCGCAGTTGTCGTCAGATATTTCATCACAGCTACAAGCACAGAAGACACACGTATCGCAGTTTCTGGAAGTGCAGGATGCAAA